TGGATGATGATTGGATGATGGTTCTTTTCCGCAGTGGTGTGGGGTCGCTGCCCAGCCCCAAGCATGGGTGGCCCCATTCTCACCCAATCGAATCGAATCCTTTTGTGGTGCTTTCCAAAGGATTCCTGTTGTGAGGCCTTCCAATAGAAACCCTTTGTGATGTTTTCCAAGGGAGTCCAATGGAATCTTTTAGTGGTGATTTTCCCAAAGACTCCTGCCGTGCGGCTTTCCAATCGAATCCCTTCGTTGCGCTTTCCAAAGAATTCTTGGTGTGAGGCTTTCCAATCGAATCCCTTTTGTGGCGCTTTCCAATCCAATAGAACCCCTTCGTGGTGCTTTCCAAAGGATGCCCGTTACGAGGCTGTCCAATCGAATTTTTTGGTTGTGCTTTCCAAATGATTCCTGCTGCGCGGCAGTAATTCTTGGTGTGAGGCTTTCCAATGGAATCCCGTTGTGGTGTTTTTAAAAGGATACCTGTCGCGAGGCTTTCCAATTGAATCCCTGCGATTTGCGTTCCAAGGGATTCCTGTTGTGATGCCGTCCAATGGAATGCCCTTAGTGGCGCTTTCCAATCTAATCGAATCCCTTCGTGGTGCTTTCCAAAGGGTTCTGTTGTGAGGCCTTCCAATAGAAACCCTTTGCCATGCTTTCCAAAGGATTCCTCTTGTGATGGGGTCCAATGGAATCCCTTAGTGGTGCTTTTCCCAAAGACTCCTGTTGTGCGGCTTTCCAATCGAATCCCTTTGTTGCGCTGTCCAGAAAAATTCATTGCGTGAGGCTTTCCAATCGAATCCCTTTGTGGCGCTTTCCAATCCAATAGAACCCCTTCGCGGTGTTTCCCAAAGGATGCTTGATGTGAGGCTTTCCAATCGAATCCCTCGGTTGTGTTTTCCACATGATTCCTGTTGCGCTGCAATCATTATTGGTGTGAGGCTTTCCAACGTAATCCAGTTGTGGTGCTTTCCAGAGGGTTCCTGTTGTGAGGTTTTTTCATGGAATCCTGTTGTGGCGCTTTCCCTTGCAATAGAATCCCCTTGTGGTGATTTCCAACATGATTCCTGGTGTGAGGCCTTCCGTTAGAAACCCTGAGCGATGCTTTCCAAGGGGTTCCTGTTGTGTGGCAGTCCAATAGAATCCTTGTGTGGTGCTTTCCAAAGGATTCCTGTTTTGAGGTTTTCTAGTAGAATCCCTTTGTGGCGGTTTCCGGAGGATTCCGTTTGAGAGGGCTTCCAATACAAATCCGTTTGTGGTGTTTTCCAATCCAACACAATCCCTTGGTGTTGTTTTCCAAAGGATGCCTTTTGTGAGGCTTTTCAATCGAATCCCGTTGTGGTGTTTTCCAGCGGATTCCTGTTGTGAGGTTGTGGCGCCTTCCAAAAGATTTCTGTTGCGAGGCTTTCCAATCGAATCCCTTTGTGGCGCTGTCCAATCCACTCGGGCCTTTACCCATCCAGTCTGGGCCTCCTCCCCCGTCCACCTTCTGAAGGAACGCGCAAACTTTGGGAAAACCATACGACAAACAAAACAATCAAAGAAACTGAAGAGCTCGACATATCACAAACAAGACGACTGAAACCTTGGAAACACACAGAACAAACAGAGAAACATCATAGGATAACAGACGAATGCAACCAAAAACAACTATTCCACAGAGAGTGCGGGGATTCCCTTTGGACGGGTGTTCCCTGGATTTTTTTCTCTAATGGGTTCCCTAAAAGTTTTCGCCTTCAGCACTTCAGTTCCTTTCCCCCCCAACAATGATTTCCCCAAAGTTTTTGCACTCCTTCAGAAAAAGGGGGGATGGGGGAGGAGGAGGGGGAGGCGGAGGAAGACGGAGAGGAACCTCAGGTTGGAGGTCAGGGGAGGGGGTCGTACTTTATTGGTCCTAAGTGAGTCTCATTGTTGCATGGTTCTTGAGATTCTCATTGATTCCCCTTGGTTTAAATCGATTCCTCACGTTTCTATTAGATTCCGATTGATTCGAGTTGATTCCAATTGATGATAATTGATTATTATGGATCCCCATTCTTCTTGAGAGTGAGGAAGAGGAGGAGGGGGAGGTAGTGGCAAACATTGTTTCACAAACGGAGCGATAATCCGTTTCAAGTTCCCCTTCCCGCGGCTAGAGAGTGAACCTTTTTCAGGTCCACCCTCCAGCGCAAGCACAAGCGGGAACGAGAACCTTTTCAAGTTTCTTTTCCCGCGGCTAGAGAGTGAACCTTGCCAAGCTCACCCTCCAACGCAAGCACAAGCGGGAACGAGAACCTTTTCAAGTTCCCGTTCCCGCGGCTAGAGAGTGAACCTTTTCAAGTTCGCCTTCCAGCCCAAGCACAAGCGGGACCGAGAACCTTTTCAAGTTCCTTTTCCCTCGGCTAGAGCGTGAACCTTCTCAAGTTCACCCCCCAGCCCAAGCACAAGCGGGAACGAGAACCTTTTCAAGTTCCCGTTCCCGCGGCTAGGGAGTGAGCCTTTTTTTTTCACGTTCGCCCTCCAGCCCAAGCGCAAGCGGGAACGAGAACCTTTTCAAGTTCCCTTTCCCGCGGCTAGAGAGTGAACCCTTTTCAAGTTCACCCTCCAGCGCAAGCACAGGCGGGAACGAGAACCTTTTCGAGTTTCCCTTCCCGCGGCTAGAGAATGAACCTTTTCAATTTCACCCTCAAGTCCAAGCACAAGCGGGACAGAGAACCTTTTCAAGTTCCCTCTCCCGCGGCTAGAGAATGAACCTTTTTCAAGTTCACCCTCCAGTCCAAGCACAAGCGGGAAAGAGAACCTTTTCAAGTTCCCGTTCCCGCGGATGGGAGTTTCTGGGAGCGGCAGGAGGAGCACGCGTGCAGCATCGCTTCCTCCTCCTCCTAATCAGAATCCCCTTTTGGGAGCAGAACCAAACAAAACCATTGGGAAAATCAAAAAAAAAAAGCAAACAAAACAATAAACGCCATGTTTCGCAAGGGTTCGCCTCGCTGTCTGTATTCTCCCAAAACGTTGGATGTTTTTTTTTTTTTTTTTTTTTTGAATGTTTGCTTTGTTTGGTTTTCCTAATGGGCTGTTGCTTTCTGGGGAAGCCGAGAGAACAAAGGAAGGAGGGGGAGGAGGAGGAGGAGGAGAAGGAGGAGGAGGAGGAATATAAAGAGAGAGTTGGAAGGAGGGGAGAGAGAGCGAGAGACGGAACGTGAAGAAAGAAAGGGGGAGGAGGAAGAGGAAGGAGGTGAGAGAGAGGCCTTATGGATAAGATATGTAAATCGCGGGGGGCCGAAAACGAACCGAAACCCAAGTGATATATCGAAGCATAGTCCCCCCCCTGGGAGATCCAAACGGCTCTTGCGCTCCATTGGACCAGGCGGAAACGCCTACGCGTCGCACGCGTGCAATCAGGCACGCAAGCACAGCTTGGCAACAGCACGCACAGGAGCCCGCGCGCCAGCTGTGGGAGAGGCGCAGCGAAGCGCCGTCCCGCGTCACCGGCCCTGGCCAGACATTTCATGGGACATCGACCGCACATAAGAGTGACCTTTCGTCGAAGTGACCTTTGGTTCTGGCCCAAAGGGGATCGGGTGATTTTTCTTGAGGAACTTCACCTCGCGTCGGCACCCGCATCGCGTGATTACGCTCGCATCTGGGCGCGCCAGGTTTGGGCCCACCCCTTGCAATCGATAGCAACGCATACACGTCGCGCCCCACAGCTTGCATTGGTTACCCGAGGGGGAGCCAGTCGTCCAGACGGTGCACTTTCCGGCCCAGGACCAGTCCCGAATCCCAGCCCAAGTCCAAAAAACGTCCTGGCGTTTTGGTTGGATACCTGTGGGTATCTTTGAATATATTTGAATATAGTTCGATATGTTTGAATTGGTTTTCCGAACCAGTTCCGATACTTCCTATTATACGTCAGAAGATAGATTCAAACATACACCAGGCTCTCGGATGGGGCCTGTTTTGGCCATGACGCCGGTCTTGGTCAGACGTCGTCGCGATGCACCATGGCAGTGCCAGACCTCGTCGCGGTGGCCCCTGGCAGCGTCTGTTTCGCAGCGCCTTCGAAGTGCCATTCGGGGCGCTCGAAGTCAATCGGAGGAATTCCGCGAATGCCCGCTGGCACAACAAATCTTCCGAGTGGCACCTTGCCGATCGTTGATGCGGCACGGCAGCGCCGGCTTGCGCGATTGCGTTGGGCCCCCGCGGGCGCTCCTGAAACCGCGCAGCAAAAGTCACTCTAGCCGAGGGTCCTTCGTACGAGTAGTCAGATATAGGCGTGATTGCACCCCTTCCAGGAGGCAGTGCCTTCCACCCGATCTCCGTGTCAACCAGGCCATGGTGTCTCAGCCCGACCAGCCCAGCCCCACCGCTGGTGATAGACCCCGCGAAACCCGAAGTGACCCAGAGGGGGGGACCCCCCCACCGCGTGGCGGGCGGCGCCGCATGTCGCGCGGTGGCTTCCACGGCGCCGGAAGCGGTGGACCCGCAGGATTCGGAGGTTGATAAATCTAGGCTTGCCATGTGGGGTCGAAGCAGGTGGGGTCGGAGGATCGCGCCGCACCGCCGATGCATCGGCGATGCGGCTCCATGTTGAGGCCTATTTTCTCAACGTCAACGGCGCCAATGCACCGTCGACGTCGACGATGCATCGGCGATGCTGCGCGATCCTCCGACCCATCTGTTCGGGCCCTTTTTTGGGAGGCCTCGAATTTAAAAACCTCAACCCCACCAAAAAGATTCGTGAACTGCCCTTCTTGCGGTTCTCTCGAATGTGTCGCGGACGCAATTGTCGGTGGCCTGCGCCCGGCGGTTCTAGTCCAGAGTGTGTTATCAACGGATGGTTGTTCTCAAATGACCCCCGCGCGCGCGCATCGGAAGATGTTCGCCCTGAAGAAATCGGTGTCCTGGACAAGTGAGGTCCTGGAGGCGTTTCGCCCTTCTCGGGCTACCGGCGCCCTCCCTTGCCGCAGGACCGTCAACAGACAATTCGGAACGAGAGGCCCGCCCTGGGGGGAGCCCCGGGGGACCAGGACCGTCTTCCACCTGCACCCGCTGCCCCATGCCAAGTTGTGGCGCCCGCGCGTGCTCGAAAGGGCCCCTGCGCTCGCGCACGTCCACGGCCACTGGTTCATGATTTGCGCCGCCATCCCTCGCATGGGCCTCGCCACCGAGGGATCGAAGGCGGGCTGACTTCCTGTCATCGGCGGAGGCTGGCCGCCGAAGCCAGCGAAATCAAAACGAGTGCAGTTCCGTCGGAGGAAGCCCGAAGAAGCAACATAAACCCGCCGAGTGGAAGGTCTGGAACAGTTGAGTTTAGGATTCAGCGTTTCTTCAGCAAGCCAAGAACTGCACAGGGCATGTAATTAGTGCGCGTGCGGGGACGATGTGGCAACAGCATTGCTCATGTAAGACAGGAGCGCGACGACAGCAAGGCGCGTGCACGCGCATGACCGAGTGTTGCTTGTTCGCCTGCTCCAGTCTCCTCCCTCTCCTCCTACTCCTCCCCGCTGTCTCCTGGGATCTCCAGAGGTCTCAGGTCCCTGGAGGGAAGGCTTCTGGAAGCCGTCGCGAGGCCCCTGGAGGCCCAGTGAGGTTCGAACACATGCTTGCGGAAAGCACAGGAGCTTCAGCCTCAGCCCTCCCCCCCAACTCGCGCGACGTCTCACTTCGGCGGCGATCCCAGGAGGGGAGTGAAAAGAGGCGGGAAGGCTCGAAAGACCTCTCGCCTTCCTTGAGACGCAGAGATCTTCTCAGAAGGCCAGATGGCTTCTGAGAAGCCCCGGAGAAGGAGCCGCCTTTTGAGGAGGCCTGATCCTTCTCATTTCCCCCCCCCCCGACTCGCGCGACGTCTCAGTGACTGACTGCCACCCAGCCCGCTCGGAGTTGCCGCGGCCCGATCTCGTCGCGATCCCGAGGCCCCGGCTCCTCGCCGACCTCCGCCGTGTCGTTCGGCCAGGACGCAGGCGCGCACTCGCCGCCCCCTGACGCTTGCCGCTCGCCTCCCCTCGGAGCAGGAGGTCGGGCTGCAACTCCCGGACTGGCAAGCTCAGCATCGGCGCTGGCATAGCCAGCCGAGTCCGGCTCAATCCCGCTCGAAGCCCCCAGCACTGGCATATATATATATATATATATATATATATATATATATATATATTATATATATGCCGGCGGAACAGCAGCGAGGCCGCCAGGAGTGGACCTGCGCCCCCCGTGGGGGTTCCGGGGCTCACTTTCCGACGCCGCCAGGAATGGACCTGCGCCCCCCATGGGGGCTCTGGGGCTCACTTTCCCTGTGTTTTTACAGGGTTTCGGCGTTCCAGGGCCTCCGAGGCGCCAGCGTTCCAGGGCCTCCGAGGCGCCAGCGACGGTTCCAGGGGGCTCCGGGGCTCACTTTCCTTGTGTTTTTAAAAGGGTTTCGGCGTTTCAGGGCCTCTGAGGCGCCAGCCTTCCAGGGCCTTCGAGGCGCCAGCGACGGTTCCAGGGCCTTTCCCAGATCTCGGAACGCCTGCCGGGAACATAATTTCTTCGCTTGCGTTCGAGTGTTTCTTTTGTTCTTCGCCACCCTGCCTCTTCGACTTTCTTCCCATGTCCTCCTCCTGCTGCGGCTGCTCAACATGCTACTCCTGCACCTCCCCCTGTCCTTCTTCTACCTCCTCCTGCTCCCCCTGAACCCCCCTTCCTCCCGCTCCCCTTCTTCTCCTCCTCACCCTCCTTCCCTTCCGCCTACTCCTTATGTCCTGCTCGTCCTGCTCCCCCTCCTCTTCCTGCCGCTCACCTTGTCCTGCGTGTCTGTCCTCCTCGTCCTTCTCATCATCCTGCTCCTCCCCCTCCTCTTCCTCCTCCTCCTCCTCCTCCTCCTTCTCCTCCTCCTCCTTCTCGAGATTCCTCCTCCTGCTCTAGCCCTCCTCCTCCTTCCTGCCCTCCTCCTCCTTCTCGGGCTCCTCCTCCTCCTGCTGTCGCGCAATATGTTCTCGGGGAGCTTCCCGGGAATGTAATTCCGCGCGCCTCCCTGTCTCCACTTCGCCGATATTATCCCCCTTCTCGTCACCCTCCTCTTCTTTCTCGGGCCCCTCCCCCTCCTATCGCGCATGATGTTCCCAGGAAGACTCTCGAGAACATAAGTCCCATCCCCTTGCTCAAGCGCATGATCCCTCCTGGGCGGACCTTCCCCCTCCTCCTCCTTCCTCTGATCCTTCTCCTCTGGCTGCTCTTCATCCTATTCCTGTTCCTCTCCCTCTTCTTCCTCCGCCTCCCCCTGCTCCCCCTCGACTTCCCCCTCTCTCTCCCATGCTTCTGCCGCGCGTCCTTCCTCGTCACTCCGCGGGTCGCGGGGCCGAATAGTCTCGGAAGCCGATGGGTCATGGGGCCGCGATGGAGGATCTTCGACCCTAGAGGTCGGGGGCGTCCAGGGACCGAAGGATTCGGAGGATTCCTGGGGCCGACTTCAAGGGTCGTGGGGCCTACGGTTCCCAGAGGTACCCCGACCGGGGAGGGCGCGCGGAGCGGGGGGCGTCCGGGCCAGGGAAGGGGAGGGGGAGGAGGAGGAAAGGCAGAGGATATTGAGGAGGAGAAGGAGGAGGAGGAGGAGGAGGAGGAGGAGGGGGAGGGGGAGGAGAAGGAGGAGAGGGAAGAGGAGGAGGAGGAGGAGGAGGAGAAGATCGTGCAGGAGGAGCAGACGCAAATGAGGAAGGAGGAGGTGGTGGAGGAGAAGGAAGGGAACTAAGGAAACGGAGGAAAAAGACAGGCGAGGAAGGGGGGGAAGAGGGCGAAGGAGGAGGACGAAGAGAAAGAAGGAGGAGGAGGAGGAGGAGAAGGGCGGACATATGTGTATATATATATATACACAAGAAAAGGTCTGCTTCGATACTTCTGCCGGGGCCTTGCCGTGATCTCGGCTAGAACCAAAGCGCGCGCGAAGCGCGCGCGATGGTTCTAGTGCGCGTGTGTGTGTGTATGTATGTATATATATATATATATATATATATATATATATATATACTCATACGCACCTCTCCGAGGGAGTAGAGCTCAGAGGCGATTAATGCGCACGCGTCCGCGACTTTTCTGGGCGTTTCGCTCGGGACATCCTCGAAATTCTGAAATCGGTGGCACCTCTCACGCAGATCGTGACGTCAGGGTCCAAAAACACACGGGAATTTCAACATTTTAACATAAAACCTTCAAACACACATTGCAATTTCAATAATTGTGACCCCGATTCTCAGGGAATGGCGGTTTCGCTTGACAAATCCTTCCAAAATCGAGCCCCAGACCCCGCCTCGGAGCCTCCTGGGGGCCTCCTGGAACCTCCTGGGGCCTCCTGGGGCTTTCTGAACCTTCTGGCACCCCAGACCCCGCCTCGGAGCCTCCTGGATCCTCCTCCTGGAGCTCTCCTGAGGGCCTCCTGCCTCCTGGGGTCTCCTGGGGCCTCCTGAGGCCGCCTGTGGCTTCCTGGGGCCTCCTGGGGCTTCAGAACTACATGCACACAGAGACACAAATCACGCCCAACACATCACACGCTAGACAAACATAACACACACACACACACACACACACACACACACACACACAACACCTACAACACACAAAAAGCACGCACCACACAAAGCATACATCACACACACACGCACACACACACAAACACACACACACGCACGCACACACTCACAATCCTGGGGCCTCCTGGAGCCTCTTCTGGTGTCCAAGTCGGGCCTCCTGAGGCTTCCTGGGGGGTCCTGGTACACACATCGCAAGGTGTGGCAACCCCACTTGCGCTCGAGTGCGACTTCGATGTTGCATTTCACTCCTGCTTCAAACGCCCCTTCAGTTTTTTGTATGAGCCTGGGCACACACGTGCCACTTGTATATATATATTATATATATATATATATATATATATATATATATGCGCACCTCTCCGAGGTAGTAGTGATTCTGACACCCTCCTCTGTGCGCCTATTTTGGCTCAAGATGAAAAGGAGATATTGCTGTTCATCGGCATATTATCTCATCATGGTAGCGTGAGCTGGCCACTCACTGCTGCCGACCCCACCCAGGCCTCGGCGCGCCGCGGCCGCGGGCGCCACGGCGAGCCGGCAGGGGGCTCGAGACTGGAGCAGGGCGGCATCGACCGCGGCAAGCTCGGCAGCGACCGAGCGACCGGCAGGGGCCGGGAAGAGTGGCCGCAGGCGCGGCAAGAGGAGTGAGGCAGCGATCGAGACCAGGCGCAAGGCCCTCCAGTTCAAGCACGACTTGAGGGAGACGGGCAACAAGCTCCGAGACCTCGCACATATCGAGGACCATCCCTCGGAGAACTCATCGGACGCCATTGAGGAGGCGCAGAAGGAGGTCCTAGGCAGGATCACGGACCTTGAGCGCACGAGGCAGCAGATAGCTGAGAGCCGGGAGGAGCTCGCAGAGAGACACGCGATCAAGCATGGACGAGCAGGTTCGGCAGCAGTTCGAACTGCTGAGGCAGGAGTTCGCAGCGCAGATGAGCCAGGCAGCCGACGAGATGAGGAGGCTGGAGAGCGAGAATCAGCGGCTTCAGCAGCAGGTGGCAGGAGGCCTCGCGGCAATCCCGCGGGCGATCGAGCGGATGGGCGAGCAGATCCGGGGCGCGTCGAGTATGGGCACAGCCGCTCACGGTCTCGTCGACACGAAAGGGATTGGCAAGCCCACGACGATGGGCGACGATCAAGAGAAGTTCGGCGCTTGGAATCGCAAGATGGAGAACTACGTGATCGGCGTGTACGGAGAGAGTTTTCGTCCCGTTCTTCGGTGGGCTGCAGAAGCCGAACGCCCCGTGACGATCGCGGGGGCTCAGGCGGCGCACGACGGAGTGCCAGAGCTGGAGACAAAGGTCAACCAGCTGTACGCGGCGCTGATCAGCACGACGGCGGACGGGAGCGAGAGCAACGACCTCGTGACGGGCGCTCCCGATGGGAACGGTCTCGAAGCCTGGCGGAAGCTCCACCGCAGGTGGGATCCGACGACAGGTCCGAGGAAGAGGCTGATCCTGAGGTCGATCATCTCGCCTCCGAAGTGCAGCGCGGACGAGCTGGGATCCGCCTTAGAGAAGTGGATCCAGCAGATAGGCAGGTACGAACGCCGCCAAGGAGAAGATGGTCTAGCCGAGCTGCCGGAGGATATCAAGATGGCGGCTCTCGAGATGCTCGTGCCTCAGGACATCGAGAACCACCTCGTCCTCAACAAGCATCGGCTCGTCACGTTCCAAGACAGTCTGAACGAGGTGATGACGATCGTGGAGGCTCGGACCGGCGTGAAGATCAAGGAGCCGTCGATCCGCGCGAGGGCGCATCATCCGGACGACATGGACGTCGGGTCATTCGGAGCCCCGAAGGGCAAAGGCAAAGGCAAGGGCAAGGACGGCAAGAGCAAAGGGAAAGGCAAGACTCAGGAGCCGAAGGGGAAGAGCAAATCGACGAACGGATCATACTCAGGCTCCCGCACGTCCCCGACGGGTTCGGGCCGTGGTTCAGGGCACACGGCACCTCGAAACACCAGCGGGCGCTTCGACGGCTACTGTCGGAACTGCGAGAGATGGGGCCACAAGGCATCCGACTGCTGGAAGAAAGAGCAGGGATCGAGTTCGAGGGCTGGAACTGGATCCGCAACGGGGGCAAGCGCTGGTGGTAAAGCCGGTAGCCGCGGCGGCAAGGCCGGCGGCAAGGCGGCAGGCAGCCTGGAGGAGGAGCCTGAAGCGGAGGTCGCCGCTCTGGACATGGGCAGCCTGGACTGCCTGGAGCTCGCCAGCGGCAGCGGCCGCGGCGTGGTCGATCTCTCCCCCTTCGCGCAGGACGACTGGATGAAGTTCAACTGGGACAGCGGTGCAGCTATCTCAGCATTCCCTCGGAGCTTCGCGCCGCCGACGGGAATGAAGGGCAACGGCAGCACGTATCGTACGGCCAGTGGTGAGCTCGTCCCGGACGAGGGCAGCTTGCAGCTCAAGGCGGAGGACGAGTACGGAGTGCTACGAGCGCTCAAGGGACGCGTGACGAACGTGCACAAGCCGTTGATCTCGGTGGGGCAGGCAGCAGGAGCTGGACAGTGTTCATTCCTGGGCCGCAATGGCGGCTGGATATTCCACGAGAAGAGCCCAATCGGCAAGCGCGTGGTAGGCATGCTCGAGAAGGAGGCGAAGGCGGCGAAGCACCAGATGCTGCCGGTCTATCGCGAGCAGGGCGTCTACAACTTCTACCTCAAGAAGGGCCAACATGGCTCGGTTGCTCCTCTCGAGGAGGGACTTTCGGCGAAGTCAAAGTCCGAGCTGGTGGAGCTCCTCAGCGGCAAGTCGAAGGAGGAGCTGCTGGAGATCCTCGAGAAGACAGTCCCCAGGAGGCAGCCCTCGGCGTAAGTCCACTGGAAGACTCAATACCACGGCCCCCTGCGGCATCGGCTGCGGGGGCGGCAGCGGCGGGGTCGGGACCTTCCGACGTGAGACCGCCGGGTTTTCAGCCAGCGGCAGCTGCTGCGGCCGACGCTTTGCCAGCTGCTCCTGATGGACAGCAGGCCGACGAGGGCGAGGAGGAGGCTCGCCCGAGAGTGCTGAAGGCACCTCATGAGCCCTCTCAGAGGGAGATCGCCGAACACGAGGCGATGGGACACGCGACTTATCGCAGCTGGTGTCGCGTGTGTATTGCGGCAAAGGGCCAAGGCCAGCCGCATCTCCGCGCACCGGAGGACGACGAGACAGCGGTGCCGGTGGTCTCGTCCGACTACGCCTTCATGGGCCAGGACGACGCGGACACCATGCCGATGCTGGTCCTTAGGGATCGGCGCTCGAAGATGATGGCGGCGACATTCGTGGAGAAGAAGGGCGACGACGCCTACGCCATCAAGTTCTTCGCACGCTTCTTGCGGATCCTGGGCTACAGGAAGATCGTCAACAAGTCCGACGGCGAGCCAGCGATCCTGCTGGTCAAGAGGCGTGCGGTGGAGGAGGTTCCTGGCCTCGAGGCCATTCCCCAGGAGTCGGCACCGGCCGATCATCAGGCCAATGGGGAGATTGAGGTCACGGTGCGCGAGATCAAGAAGCAGGTGCGGGCGCTCAAGATGGACCTGGAGTCCAAGCTGGGCATCAAGGTGGAGGACAAGCACCCGGTGCTGGCGCACCTGCCGGAGCACGCCGCATCGGTAATCAACCGATACCGGCGCGGCCAGGACGGCAAGACCGCTCTTCAGCGGCTCACGGGACGGCAGTGGAGGAAGCCGGCCCCGCTCTTCGGCGAACGCTTGATGGCGCGCTTCGCCGGGGAGCGCGCGAGGAAGAACGCGCTGGAGGAGCAGATGGTGGAGGCTCGCTACATCGGCCACCACCCGCGCGACGGCTCGATGATGGTCATCACGAGCGACGGCGTGAAGAAGGCGGTCGGCTTCCGCAGCCTGCCGCAGAGCGAGAAGTGGATCACGGCGGGCTGGGATGGCCTGAAGGGCCTGCCGTGGGACGTGGCTCCGCGTGCGGCAAGCGCGCCGCGGGCCATCGTCGGACCTGGAGAGGTCGGTCCGCCACCAATTGTGGTGGTGTCGCCGCAGCCGCAGGCGCCGAGGAGGATGTACGTCCTCAAGGCGGACATCGAGCGGCTGGGCGCAACGCCGGGATGCCCAGGGTGCATCTCGATCGCTCGGCACGGCCGGGTGCTGGCTGGCCACGCGCACAACGCGGTGTGCAGCAAGAGGATCTTCGAAGCGCTGGACGCGGAGGAGGCAGGCCGGGAGAGGACCGGCCAGTATCGAGAGCGGAGGCAGGGCCAAGAGGCCAGAGTCCGACCAGCGGCATCGGCCGCGGCAGGGACCCCTCCGCCGAAGACGGCTCGGAGGACCACCGAGCCGGTTGCAGCGGCGGCAGCGGCATCGGCCGCGCCGGCCGCGACCCGCTCGGCAGCAGCGCCAGCCGTGGCAGCCACGGCGGCGCGCCTGCGAGAGAGCCAGCCGGTAGCACCGGGCTTCGGCGTGGCGGCTCCTTCAGGAGGAGCGAGCTCCAGTTCGGGAGCGGCGCGAGCGGCAGAGGCCGCCGCGGATGTCGACATGACCGCGGCCAGGTCGCGGCTGAAGCGCATGGCAGAGGTGGCCCCGGATGACGTACCGGAGGCCCTCGAGCGCGGTGATCCACAGCCGGCAGACGTGCCGGTACCGGTGGACATGGAGGATCTCGCGGCGCAGCCGGCGCCGGCGGAAGGACCTCAGCTGCCAGCTGGAGTGGCAGTCGTGTGGAACGCCAGTGAGGGGAGGCACATGCGGGTGCTCGCCCTCGATGTGGCGTCGATCGAGCTGGTTGAGCTCGGAGTGCTGACGAGAGCGAAGGCGGAGTTGCTCCCGCTCGTTCGCGAACAGGTCAGTGGCCATTGGGCCAGCGCCGGCGTGGACATCGCCGACGAGGAGGTGGACAGCATCGCCCTATCGGCGTTGCAGCTGGGCGCCGTGGACGTGGCCGAGGTGTACTCGCCACATCGGTTCTCGGCTCGGGCAGCGGAATTTCAGCTGCGCCCGGGCTTCGCGGCGGACCTGGAGGAACTCAAGGAGGACGGGACGCCGTGGGACTTGCGGCGCCCCGAAGATGTCAAGGAGCTCGAGAAGCAGCAGGAGCGGATGGATCCCATCCTGCTCACGGGGTCCCCTCCATGCGAGAAGTTCAGCTTGCTGAGGGGCCTGAGCGCCAAGTTCAGGACCGATGAGCAGGAGGCGGCTGAGATGGAGGAGGCCAGACACCACCTGAAGGTGGCAGTCGACGCCTACTGGCGTCAGCTCAGGAAGCCAGGCAGGTACTTCTTGCATGAGCATCCCTGGAGCGCGCGATCGTGGAATGAGGACATCGTCAAGGAGCTGGTCGCGCATCCAGGAGTCTTCACGGTCAAAGGCCCCATGTGTCGGTGGGGCATGAAGCTCGCGAACCCCCGCAATGGCCAGGAGGGGTTCGTGCGCAAGGAGACCGGATGGGTCACCAACCATCCAGGCCTAGCCCGGAGGCTGCAGGGCACTTGCAGCAATGTGGACGGCCGCGCGGAATGGCATCGCCACATCACGCTCGTGGGCGGCATCGCGCGGTTCGCGAAGGTCTATCCACCGAAGTTGGTGGAGGCGGTGCTGGAGGAGCTCAAGGACACGCTGAATGACGTGGGAGAGCTCAGCACCGCCCAGGTGCAGCAGTCGGGCCCAGTCCCTGTGGACGCGGCAGTGCCGCCCGGGGACTGGACGAGTTACTGGGACGACGTCAATGGCGGCTACCTGGAGGCGGGCCTTGTGGCCCAGGCTCGCGCGGTCGAGCGCGAGTGGGTCAAGAAGCAGGAGCTGATCGAGATCGTCCCGAGGTCTCAGGCTTTCGCCGAGACTGGGCGTCCGCCCATCCCACTCAAGTGGGTCGACACGAACAAGGGTGACGCGGAGAGGCCCAACTACAGGAGCAGGCTCGTCGTGAAGGAGATCAAGGCGAAGAAGCGCCCTGACGAGCAGCTGGAGGCGTCCGAGGTCTTCTCGGCCATGCCTCCTCTGGAGGCCATGCGGTCGCTGGTCTCGCTGATGGTCACGTGGACGCGGGAACCACCGCTCCACATTCAGGAGTCGCTTCGCAAGAAGGGCAGGAAGCCGGGCAACTTCAAGATCGGCTTCTTCGACATCAGCAGGGCGCACTTCTACGGGAAGGCGCAGCGGAGGATCTTCGTGGAGCTGGAGGAGGAGAGTCGCAAGGAGTACGGCGAGGACAAGTGCGGCCTACTCCTCAAGTCCTGGTACGGCACGCAGGACGCCAGCAAGATCTGGCAGGGCGACTACACGGAGCTGCTGGAGGAAAACGGCTACAAGGCGGGCGTGTCGTGCCCAGCGGTCTTCTACAAGGAGGTGGACGAGACGAGGCTGCTGGGGCACGGCGACGACTTCGCGGTGCTGGCTCAGCAGCAGGACATCGACAGCTTCGAGGCCACGCTGGGCAAGAAGTACGAGTTCAAGAAGACTGCGAACCTAGGCTTCGACGAGGGCGATGACAAGCAGGCGGTCTTCCTGAATCGGGTCATCGAGGTCAGTGCGGGAGTTCCGCCTGGCGGTGGCCGGCCCTGCCGGCATGCGATGATCGAGCCGGACAAGCGGCACGCGGAGATCGTGATCGACGAGTTGGGTCTCAGCAAGGCCAACGGCGTGGACACGCCGACGGAGAAGCGCAGCGCCGACAAGCAGATGATGGATGCGAAGTCGGCGGCGTTGGGAGCAGCGGAAGCTTCGCGCTTCCGATCCCTCACCATGAGGGTGGCCTACCTGTCTCAGGACAGGCTGGACTTGGCTGAGGCATCGAAGACGCTCGCCAGGTCCATGCAGACGCCAACGGAGGCGAGCTGGCTCATGCTCAAGAGGGTTGGCCGCTACCTCAAGCGGCATCCTAGCACGGTGACGGTTTTCACGGAGCAGAAGACGTTCGACAAGATCCGGGTGTACGTGGACTCCGATCATGCAGGCTGTGCAGTCACGCGGAAGAGCACCGGAGGCTTCGTGGCGATGCTGGGGCATCATGTAGTCAAGCACGGCAGTAACCTGCAGTCGACGGTTTCATTGAGCAGCGGGGAGAGCGAGTACTACGCCCTGGTGAAGGGCGGGAGCGTGGGCCTAGGCCTTCACAGCCTCTTCGCGGATTGGGGGCTGGACCTGAAGGTGGAGCTTGCCTCGGATTCATCGGCGGCCCGGGGCCACGTCCAACGGCGAGGTCTCGGGAAGATGCGGCATGTTCAATCACGATACTTGTGGATCCAGGAGCGTGTGGGCAAGGGCGACCTCTCGATCGCTGCAGTTCCTGGCAAGAACAATGTCGCGGACGTGCTGACCAAGAGCGTGGGTGGCTCCCTTTTGAGGAGACACATGGCTACGCTGAACATCTGGGATCGGGCACCGAGTTCGACTCAGAAGGACATCAAGTGATGGAGTGGATCGAATCCATGCTCCGCTACCTGTGGGGCTGGATGAGGTTCCGCCGGCGGCGGTATGATCGCGCCGGGCGGAGTGAGGGGCTGGCGGCATGGCCGCAGCCTAGCCGATGAGCTGGGCGCGTCGGCTCGGGCGCGCCCGCGTACGACTTAGGTCGTGCCTGGCCGGTTTGCGGCCAGGCCCGAGGAGGAGTGATTCTGACACCCTCCTCTGTGCGCCTATTTTGGCTCAAGATGAAAAGGAGATGTTGCTGTTCATCGGCATATTATCTCATCAAGTAGAGGTCAGAGGCGATTAATGCGTGCGCGGGGCGTTCGCGATGTTTCTGGCCGTTTCGCTAGGGACATCCTCGACATTCTGAAAATCGGTGGCACCCCTCGCGCAGATCGCGACGTCAGGGTCCAAAAATACATCGGAATTTCAATAGTTTAACATAACACCTTCAAACACACATGGTAATTTCAATAGTTGTGACCCGATTCTCAGAGAATGACGGTTCCGCTTGAAACATCATCCCAACATCGAGCCCCGACGTGCCCTCTGGTACCTCAGACCCCGCCTCGGAGCCTCATGGAGGCCTCCTGGAACCTCCTGGGGCTTCCTGGGGCCTGCTGAACTTTCTGGCACCCCAGACCCCGCCTCGGAGCCTCCTGGGGGTCTCCTGAAACCTCCTGGGGCCTCCTGCGGCCTCCTGGAGCCTCTCGGGGCCTCCTGAAGCGTCCTGGGGTCTCCTGGGGCCTCCTGAGGCCGCCTGGGGCCTCCTGGGTCTTCAGAACTACATGCGCACACAGAGACACAAACCACGCCCGACACATCACACGCTAGACAAACAGAACACACACAACACCTACACCGCACAAAAAAAACACGCACAACACAGAGCACACATCACACGCACACACACATACACACATACACACACGCGCACACACACAACACTCACAATCCTGGGCCCTCCTGGAGCCTCTTCTGGTATCCAAGTCGGGCCTCCTGAGGCTTCTTGGGGGGTCCTGGTACACACACGGCAAAGTGTGGCAACCCCATTTGCGCTCGAGTGCGACTTCGCTGTTGCATTTCACTCCTGCTCCAAACGCCCTTTCAGTTTTTTGTATGAGCCTGGACACACACGTGCCACTTGTATATATATATATATATATATGTATATATGTATATATACATTCATTCATTCATTCATTCATTCATTCATTCATTCATTCATACATACATACATACATACATACATACATACATACATACATATGTATATATATATATATATATAGAGAGAGAGAGAGAGAGAGAGCCGCCGAATCCCGCATAATCCCGCCCAGTATGGCCCAACTCCCCGGGCAAGTCCGGCCTAGTCGGGCTTCGAGGCGCTTTAGTCGGGCGGGGTATCCTTTCATCGTTCTTGCGAGGAGCTCCCAGGGGGGTGCCTCCTAAAGGGAGGTTCGCAGCGCTCGGGTCCGTAGGATTGTACGCTCAATGAGCCTTGGGCCTGTTCTGGATCCCCCCATTGGCCCGGGCCCACGATGACACCGGCGAACGACGACAGCCCTCAGAGGTCTCCGAAGGCCTCTGATATCTTATCTGGATGGTTTCTGAGGCCTCCACAGCGTGGCGCTGCCACGTAACATCGAACATCTCGACCCGCCTCTTCCTCACGAGCGACCTACATATCCTTATCCACGACCTCGCGGTCAAGATTCTGGGACGCAATCCCATGGTACTCGACCGCGTGGATGCGTTGCGCGGGGGGCATCCGCGAACAGACGATCCGTATCCGTGGGACTGCGGCCCAGGGGCAAAGCCCGCGGGGCCATGGATATGGCTCTGTCTCCCGCCCGCGGGCCACAGAGCTAGATACCTCCTGGGCCACGCTTGCGATTCTTCTCAGTCACCACAGGCTTCCAGAGGCCTCCGCATCGCAAGACGGCCAAAGAGCACCCCCCAGCATCGACCGTTCTCGTTCTCTTCCTCTATTTTTTTCCTCCTCCTCCTCCTCCTCCTCCTCCTCCTCCGCCCACACACAGCAGAGCTGACCGCCCCCAGGGCAGATCTCTAGCGTCGAAGAGCTGCGGGCGCTAGCCGCTTGGGAGCCCTCCTCAGCGTTCTCACGCCGCCGTCGTCCTCATCGGCGTCGCCGCCGCCTCGCCACTGGCCTCGTCGTCATCGCCGCCGCCGTCGTCGTCTGCTTCATTGCCGCCGTCGTCGTCGGTGCCGCCGCCGCCGTTGCCGCGGCCGCATCGCTGCCGACCGCGGCCGAGGCCGCCGCCGATCACGGCGGTCGCTGGCTGGATGGTCCGATTCGCCGATCGTCGGATCAGTTCACGCGCAACGTTAAGGGGGGATGCGCTCAGGAGGGGAGGCCGCGTCGCCCCCCATTTCCGATTCATCGCCGATGGGGGCCCGATGGCCCACCCCACCCAGGACCATGCGGATTCGCTACTGGGGTCCTATCGCCGATCTATCGGCGACATATTCCCGATTCCGCTCAATGTCTCCCTCCCTGAGCAACGGATCAGCAGTGCAGCTAAGGTTTTCTGGGATTTGGTTCACTCTTATTCCTGAAGGGGCTCGATGGTCCCTGGGTCCTGCCATGGGTCCTCCTCTGCCGCTCCTCATATTTTCAGGCTCCACGCCGAAAGTGGGCCTCGTCCGTTATCCGGGATTCCTGATGGAAACACAACGTGATTACAGCCTTGCTTTGGCCGAAAGCCAGGTATTGGCCCAGAGGGAGGAATCGAGGATGGATCTGAGATGTAGATCTTTGAGCAGTCTGGGCGATTTCTGGCCCTCTGGAGGCGTTTTGGTGGCTGCCGTGTTGGGCGTTGGGCGCGCGACCCGTGATGCGGGCTCCCCGGTGCTATCGGGTGCTCGGTGCCCACAGGTGCTCGATGTTCCCTGCCGCCCCCCCCACTGCGGGGGGCCGGACCAGGTCCGTTCTGTGAAAGTCGTCACCAACCAAGCATCGGGTTCGTCCGCGACTATGGGACCCAAGGGTTATGAGCCCGCCAGTCCCGCGGCGGCGGCGCGATTTGGCAGAGTCCCGACCGCTGGGGTGTCAGCGAAAACCTCTTTGGTGCGAGGGGCAAAACAAGAGGTCGTTTCTTCGGCTTGGTTTCGCTTTGAATATGCTTGCGGGTGGTGCGTGCGTGCGCCACCCTCATTCCTGTCGCGAACGTGAAACCGTTGATCTGGATGCCACGCGTTGGCAGCGCAAGCGACGCAACGCCCGCCGGCCCGCCCACCCGCCCGCCCGCCGGACCGTTGAAGAGACAGCGCCCCGCGTCACTCCTCTCCATCTTCCTCCCGCCCCATCGTCGTCGTCGTCCTCCTCCTGCTCCTCCTCCTCCTCCTCCTCCTCCTCCTCCTCCTCCTCCTCCTCCTCCCCCTCCTGCCCTCCTCGTCCTCCTCCTCCGCTTTCTCCCCCCCCTCCTCCTGATCGATCTCAGCTCACCCTGCGCCGCCCATTTCGGCACACCCCTCTCACGGTTCGTGGCCTCATTGGGAGCTCCACCGAAGGTCCCAGTGGCAGCGTTCGCACAGCGGCCCTTCGCACACTTCGTGGCCATAGGGCTTGGTATCGCTCGGACGTGTGCACTTTCTCGCGGCGGGGATTATTGAGGAGCATCCTGGATCATCTTGCCCCCCAAAAAACACGCACGGAACCTAAAAAAAACAGGAATCGACGTCCGAGCGATGGCCAGAGGGAGCCAACCGAGGCCCCAGTCGCAACGATCGCACGGCGGCCCGGCGCCCATTTGACCCACCATTCACGCGCGTTGTGGCACCATATGGGGCACCGAAGGCCCCAGTGGCAGGGTCCGCATGCAGTTCCTCCTCCATGTCGGCGCACCCCGCGCACGCTCCGCGGCCCCATGGGGCGCTCCGCCGAAGGCCCAAGTGGCAGGGTCCGCATGCAGTTCCACCCTGTTTTGCGCACCCCTCACACGTTTTGTGGCCCCAAAGGGTGCTCCACCGAAGGCCCCAGCGGCAGGGTCCGTAGGCAGTTCAACCCTGGGGCCACGAAGCGTGTGAGGAGTGCACCGAAAGGGGGGTGAAACTGCATGCGGACCCTGCCAGTGAGGACTTCGTTGGAGCACCCTATGGGGTCACGAAACGTGTGAGGGGTGCTCTGAAAGGAGGTGGAACTGCATGCGGACCCTGCCACTGGACCCTTCTGTGGAGCACCCTACGGGGCCACAGCGCCCTATGTATGGGGCCACGAAGCGCGTGAGGGGTGCGCCGAAATGGAGGTGGATCTGCATACGGACCCTGGTACTGGGGCCATCGGTGGAGCACCTTTCGGGGCCACTGAACGTGCGAGGGGTGCGCCGAAATGGAGGTGGAACTGCATGCGGACCCTGCCACTGGAACGTTCCGTGGACCAGACTATGGCCACCAAGCGTGCGAGGGGTGCGCCGAAACAAATCGGGTGGAACTGCATGCGGACCCTGCCATTGGGGCCTTCGGCGGAGCGCCCTATGGGACCACGAAGCGTGTGAGGGGTGCGCAGAAGTGGGAGTGGAACTGCATGCGGACCCTGCCACTGGGGCCTTGGATGGAGCACTCTATGGGGCCGCGGAGCGTGCGAGGGGTGCACCGAACTTGAGGTGGAACTGCATGCGGACCCTGCCACTTGGACGTTCGGTGGACCAGACTATGGCCACGAAGCGTGCGAGGGGTGCGCCGACATGGAGGTGGAACTGCATGCGGACCCTGCCGCTGGAGCCTTCGGTGGAGCACCCTACGGGGCCACAGCACCCTAAGTATGGGGCCACGAAGCGTGTGAGGAGTGCGCCGAAATGGAGGTGTAACTGCATGTGGACCCTGCCACTGGGGCCTTCGGTGGCACCCTACGGGGCCACGAAGCGTGCGAGGGGTGCGCCGAAATGGAGGTGGAACTGCATGTGGACTCTGCCACTGGGGCCTTGCATGGAGCACCCGATGGGGCCACGAAACGTGTTAGGCAGCAGCAGGAAGCCAAGCGTCCAACAGGGCGCGCAGGCAGAAGAGAACGCGGTTGGGTACTCTTCG